CCACAACATAATTTATCGATTTTTGCCTCTTGTTTTCGTTTTTCTTGGTTGCATTGAAATAAGTGCCAATCTTTTAAGGTTGTTATTCTTCCTCCCAAAGTATTGGGGGTTTGTCCCTCGTTTACTTTATTTTGAAATATAGTTTTTACTTCTTCTGATATTGATAGCGGTAATTTATCAAAGAATAATTCTTCGGCTACTATTTTCTTATCTGTCGCTAGTTGATAGTAATGATCTCTAAATTCGCAAATGAATGCTTCAAGATAACACATGTTACAAATTCTAAGATTTACTATTTTCCATAGTGCTACTTCTGATATTTATGTTTCTCTTAATTGTGCGTTAGAAGTTCTTCCAAGGAATTCTTCTCCTATTACGTCAATTAGCCTAACAAATGTTTCCCATGCAGTTGATCTTAGAATTTTTTCTGCTTTTATTCCTGTTGATAATCCTATTAAGTAGTTGTATACTATTCCCGTTGTTTTATGTTCTAAGTAGCTTAACATTTCGTGAGGATGTAATTCTCTTAATTCCTTATTAGTTTGTATTAACAAACTTGTACGATTTTTCCAATCTTCTAGTGTTCTAGTTGGATTAATTTCGCAATCTAAATTTAATGTTTCTGAGGATTTTATATTAAATGTATCATATTTTGGAATATATTCAAAAGGAACTTTTCTCCAATTGTTCCCTTTCGGAATATATTGATTTTGGTATAGTTCATATTCATGATCTTTATATCCTTGATATTCATCATGTGTTCGTTTTTTAGGTAATGTATTATTATTACTATTCTCCCCCCTTTCTAGTTCGGTTTTTACTAGGAATGGATTTTCGTAGGGATTTTCATCGCTGCTATAGTCTAAAACAATTTTTTCAGTTTCATCAGGTTGTTCTTCTTCGGGTATATTAAGAGCCGCTAATAATGTTGATAATCTTTCTATCTGATCATCTAGTCCTTCCATTATATCTTTGGTGGTGATCTAATTCGAAAATTAGATTTATCGATAATAATTAATTCTTTTGTTTCTTTTTTAAAATAACTTTGTAAGTCTTTTATAGTGATATATTTATTTTGATTAAGTCGTTCGATTATTTCTTGTAATTGTTCTATTATTTCTAATATTTTTGGTTTTTCATTTTTATCTGGATCCATTATTTCTTTTCCGTTATTTCGTGTAATAATATTATTTACTAATTCTTTAGCTTCGTTAAGTTC